AAACGATGTTTGAGGTTTTAACGTCGCCCAAAAATTATGTATTACTCAAGAAACATCAAAATGAGGTTTGGTGGTTTAAAATTTTTCATTTTTCGCAAATAACTCTGGCTATTGCTCGCCCGATGTTCAAAACCCACGAAGCTTTTACGTTATTGACATGGTGGTGGAGGTTTTTCGCATTTACAAAATTTCTTCATCAACTGCAGCAGGAAATTAAATACCATATTACTCTAATATGATTCGCCATTTTTTGCCAAGTAGCTATTAAATCCTGACACCCCGAATACTCGACAACCACACATTTTTTAAAAGAAAGTTCTGATAAAGGTTAATTTTGAGCTCAAACACACAATTCAACACCTTGCAACATACATGACTGCACATGTCTAGCCTCAATACATTTTTGACGTCTGGGATGATTGTCCTTCCTACCTTAAGATGAGCTCTTCGTAGAATACTATTAAGGCCCGTATCGTCAGTCGTCCCTACAATTGTAGGGCGCCTTTATGGCCTCCTTGATTGTCATAGTTTTCTACTTCTCCGTGTCAGCACTCTATTTTGAGGTTATGTCACAAACATCTATTTGCATCAAATTGTGCTTGCTTTTGAGTTATATCATGTTTTATCAGCCTGAAATTTCCTACAATTTAAAAAGAAAACATATCTTCACAATAGGAGAGCGCTGACGCTGACATGGGACAAGTGTAATCTAGACATTTTTGAAGGAGAGAAAGGAGTATGACAATCAAGGACGCCATAAACGCGCCCTACAATTGTAGGGACGACTGACGATACGGGCCTTAGCTATCACAAGAGCTAGACTTAAATAATGGTAGATGTAGATAGTAGAGGATTGTAAAAGGGAAAAACGTAACTAGATACCAAAGTCCACTGCTGTGGCCCAAAGAATTATCAAACGAAAGAAAATATTTCGTATACAACGCAGTTTTCAAAAGTATTGGCAATTTAACATATCCTTTGAATGGCGGCTACTTGCATTTGAAATGGACTGGACACCAAGAAAATCGAGAGTTGAAACTATATGCAGATAATTCATTTGGTATCATCACGTACAAAGAATGGATGACATAAGACTACCAAAACAAATTATAAAGAGATTTCCAGACAAAGAAGAAAATGGGGAAGACCGAAGTAAGTGGTGGCATTCAAAAGACAATGTTGAAGAGGAGCCTTCAACCCGGCGAATGGAACGACAGGCAAGGATTGAGACAAGGCGGAGAACGCTACGAAAATACATATAATGGAGGCAATTCTTGGTTTATAATAGAAGGTCATAAATACTGAACATATATCTATCAAGGACCGTCTTAAGCCATATAGAGGTCCCTGGGCACATATGAGCTTTAGGGTCAGCGATTGAATGAGCCCTACGGCAAAGCGAAGTCCAGATCCCCACACAGAAAATGATTGACTCGCATATTTTTGGAAGTCTTGCTTTATTTTGGGGCATTTGAGGCCTCATCAATTCGGAACTCTAGGCATATGGTAAAGTCTGAACAGGATCCACCGGGGTAATAGAAGTCCCTGTGCATCCCCTATTGCCCACCTCTGCACATCCGTTTGCCACTCCTGCTAGTGACGTTGATTTCGTCCGCCGTGTGTGTTCCTGAATGTCGCGCTGCGTCGCGACGGGCGTCCCAGGCGTCGGAACGCGCGGCTTTGTCAGAATAGCTGGGAGCGTTTTAATTGAAATTATGCGATTAAACGCCGACGACCGGCACGGCCGCAACACTAAGGGTTGATTTCTGAAATAAGGAGAAACATAAACTGTTTCGAAAGCCGATCAATAGCTTACTGTTCAGACTAGCAAAAGCTTATGGTAATTATTGAGAGAGGTTCGCCTGGTTCTGACAATCACAAAACCGGATACTGACAGCTTAATCGTAGAGCGAATAATACCTCTCATCACATTGCATATCGACAAAAGTAATGCTCAAGGGTGTTACTACTTTCGCATAATCAGAGAAAACTGTGACTTAGTGAAAAGCGCAAATCCCAAAAGAATGTAGTAGATGACATCAAAATCGCACTGAAAGTTGATTTTTATACTGTGGCAACTGCGTAGGCAGAAACCTAAATACCAAGGTTGCCGCAAATGCTTTAAGGAGCTTAAAGACATTTTTATTCCGATGTTTGAACTGGCAAACATTTATTCCTCTATTTAATATTAAATAATTATGTTTCAGTTCGAAATTACAGATATAAAGTGATAAACATTAGTGTAATTGTGTCTAAATATAGGATTTGTGGAAGATTTGACGCAGATAAGTTCAGTTTTCCATCTTAAAAATCTAGACATACTTTTGATCATTATCAAAATATGCATCAAATACGAAGCCCGTAGAAATTGCGTAACTACTTTGCACGATAATCACAATAAAATTTGCTGCGCAAGTGTAGAAGTTTATCATATACCTGTGTATGGAATTCACAATGGCCGATATGTAAGTAAACAAGATGACTGTAATGTGTTAGTTATATATTCTTCACTTCGTCTATGCAATACATAAGAAATAGTTTGGTTGCAATAAAGTAGAATCACATAACAGAGTAGTTGTATAGTTGACAAAACTGAATCTTGCACTGACGCAAATGTCCTATAGCGGCTGCAAGAGGCTTACACTTTTGTTGTATAACTGTTACCTGCAGCCCTTATACAACCTCTTAAATGACTGAAGTGTCCTATTAGGTGTGCCCATTCCGCTTGTATAGCTGTTCTAAGAGGGTTTTGCCAATGTTCTTACAGTATACAATGCTGTGTAAGGAATACTGTATAATCATTCTTGCAACTCTAATAGGAGTGATAATTGTTAGTTGGGATGCGAGTATTACTTCAATCTTATCTGAGCCTTGTACAAAGTGAGGAGATCATGTGGAGAAAAGTACTTCTTAGACCTATACAAATAGTCAAGCAGCTGACACGATTGACGAAATGTACTCGTGCCAAATCAAGTCCTCGAGTAACGTAGGTGCGCCAAGCATTGCCACCTTAAGGTTTGGTTGTAAATAAAACCTACACTGTTGTTAATAAATGAACACCAATTTGGGTATTAGTGAAGAAATGTATTGTTTCTAATAACATAACATAACTATGTTAAAAACTAAGGAGAAACAAAATAAAAAATACATTTTCATTATAGTTGCAAATGGCAATATTAGGAACACAGCGTTCCTAATATTGCCACCGATGTCAATATTAGGCACGAAAGAAATACAGTTAAAAGTAATACAAATTTCTGAAAAATGTAACTTAAAAACAACAACAACTTAGCATAAAAGTAAGAAAAACTAAACTTATGAACATTGAGGGCAAATAAATTTTTCCTTGTCATCTTTTGTCAGTCCTACACAGGCCTCGTGAACATATTCACAGCACACTATGCACAAGCGCATATCTTCTTTATTGTAGGTGTTACAAAGAAAGCAAAACCAGGATTCGTTTTTCCTTAGTTTTATTTGTCGTACTGCTTGTTGGTTTTTTGACAACTTCGTTTGGATTATTCGATTTTGGTGTTGCCGCGAACAAATCTTTGGTAACTTGTTGCGCTTTACTGTTTAAAGCTGGCTTTCTCTTTACGGTGGGTAATTTAATTTTCGGTGTAATCAGCAATCCTGTATCTTTAAAGGAATTGTCTAAGCATTTGGAGTCAGAAGGTCTTACTTGATTAGACACCGGATTACATTTTGTTGTTTCTTTTATAACCGCATTTTTTTTTCTGTCCATTTTTTAATTTAATTAGTGGAATGCCATCTTCAGAGCTGCTGCTCCTTTTAGATCTGTCGTCAAGTTTAAGTTTCTTAATCTGTTTCCTATTTTGGTTAAACTTTTGTAACGTGGCAGGCTTCTTGTTAAATCTTAGATCAGGTTCATCTTCACTTGAGGTATCGTCAAGTGGGTCATCGTAAAGACTAAAATCTGATAATGATTCGCTATCTGAGACAGCAACAGAACGCTTCGTTTTTTTGTTAATAGTTTTCAGTGGCATTTTATATCCGCTTGTACTCGCCTCGTTTTTATCTGCAGGATCAATCGAATTACTGGAACTAACGACATCTGATAAATCTAGGGAGTTACTGTGGTTCACTTCGCCCTCTTCCCTATGGGTTATCAAACTTGGTGCAAATGCAGCTTCAGGTATAGCGTGTGGTCTAAACGGATAAATGCCGGTGGCTGCAAAACCAGAGATAACGTTTGATGGTGACATTACTTTTAGCCAAGCTGGGGTAAAAATTTCTCCAAACCTCAATTTTTCTAATCGCCTTGCCAGGGTTTCTCATTAAAAAATGTAGGACTTCTTTGTCTCAAATCGCCTCAAAGCTTTTAAACACCGATTTATCCATAGGTTGCAACTCATGTGACGTGTTGCAAGGAAGGCAAAATAAAGTTATGCCCAAGCGGTCAGCTGCATCAACTATAGAAATATCAAGATAACTTTTAGCTCCATCAAATATTAGTAAGGTAGGTCCTGGGTTTTTGAATGAAGAAAAATGATCAAGCCACGATACAAATGCTTCGCATGTCATACTGCCTTTATTTGTGACAATAGCTTGTGAACCAGGGGGCAAGTGATCATACCATTCAGATTTAAGTCTTTGACTTTTAAAAAGCACAAAATACGGTACAGATTGACCAAGCGCATTTCCACAACCTACAATCGACACATTTCCTTCAGGTTCAGGTGCCGTCAAATGTACCCGTTTTGCTCCCTTCTTAGCCAAAACAATTTGTGGCTTATGAATTCTCAATCTGCATCCTGTTTCGTCCATATTATATATGCTACCTGGTTTGTCAAATAGGTTTAGCTCTTCGAGGGTATCTCTCAATTTATTAAAATGGTCATCGACTTGTTCAGTTTTTGGGCTCGAGCCATATTCATCTGTTGAGCTTTTCGGCTCGCTACGTCAAGATGTCTGCGCAAGAATGACATAACTTGAGCCATTCTCTACCAGCCCTTTCAGACTGTTGAGAAAACGAATTTGGTATGTCATTTTTTGTAGCAAAAGAAAAAACACTTTTCATTAAAATTTTGCTTGCATTCCTACCTCAGCTAATCTGTGAATTCTTACCACGTGCTGCAGATAATGTTGTCGACCTTCCAAGTTTTCTTACGGGATTTTCCGATCTATGATGAAGACCTAGTGTTGAGCGAGGAATGTTGTAATGTTTGGCACCACCTCTGATGGACATTCCGTTTGTTATGAGCTCGTTTTCTTGGCATTCTGAAAAAGATTTTAATATTTAGTCCCGAATATTGGCATTAAGCCACTGGCAATATTAGGAATTTTTAGGGATGGCAATATTGGGAAAAAGCACGTGCAGAGTAAAAAATTTCTAACCTAGAATTGCATTTGAAATAATTGATCGAATTCATAAAACATAAATTACTGGACTGTACTTACCTGAACTTGATTACAAAAATCGAGAAAATGTTAATGTAGCTTGCGTGGGGTCACCAGGAAAAGTAGGCTTGCTTATAGCGCCAGTACGAAAAACAAACGGCGTGCTCCTGCGTCTGATGGTCGTACTAGACTAAAACCGCCAAATAGTAGACAAATCGCTGCCAGTCCAAAAAACTTGCTACTGCTGCTACCTTATATGCAGCGTCGATACTATTCGTATTATACGGGGTGTCAATATTAGGAGTAGTGGCAATGTTTGGCGTACCTACTTATGTGGACTCTGAACGAATGCCTAGTTGGCAGAAGTCGGCTACCATCATAATCGGGTGTACGATTAAGGCGCTTCTTGTTAATCAAGATATAGTACTGTATTGTGGTGGCATTATCAGATTATTGCGCCCCCAAGCCCAGATCTCTCGCTGTAAAAAGTCACTACTAATCTTCTCTTTTCCTGATCGGAATTCGTCAACATTAATTACATCGATTTAAGCGCCGCCTCTGTCACTAGAATGCTACATGGCACTTCCCGTACGCGGGCTTTTGCACAAAAGAGTAATTTCATGCAACAATTGAAACGATTAGCCCCCGGGAGTGCGACACTGTGCCCGTTGACGACGAATTTATTAACGAATTAAATTAGAAATTAACTCGTCAATGCGTTAGACTGTTTGTTGAACGTGGCCAAAAGAGGGCGTCGTAGTAGCTGGGAAAATGAGATGCTCTACTGACAATGTCTGTGTCATAGCTTGGCGTTAATTAAAATAACTGTTGACAAAGTAGATGGAAAAATCTTGAGAGGGGCGCTAAATGCGTCAGGTATGGATGCGTTGTTTAAATTATTGTTCTCATTTAAAGGAGTTTATATAGAATAACCCATAGTATAAATAAAACAAATCGATTAATTTGAAGACAGTGCTGCTTCAAGTTAACAGTTTGAATTTTCCCACATTCGTACAGTTATGTCATCACTGATATCGAGCAGTTTATTCCTTTGTATTTGTGTCATTCAAATTCATATTTTCTATTATCATCTTGACATTGTGACACATGTATAGGATTCAACCGCTTACTTAACCAAGAATGAAGAAAAAGGCAAGCACAAAAAAACAACAATTTTAAACAAATTCTGAGACGGCATAGTACATCGATGCAAGGAACTCTTTCAACTTAGCTCTAATCTGATCGATATTGGAGCATTCCTTAATATCATTCGGTAACTTATTAAATATGTTAAGTCCCAGTATTAGGCAAAAGCCACACTCACGTTACTAACCTGTCTGGTTCAAATTCAAATTCCTTTATTAGTTCCGAACACTATACAGGTAAATAAGTATAGAGAGGAACACGTCATAAGTATCACATATAATACTTCTAAAAAGTAAAGGCGAAATAAAAAACAAACCAAAAGAACAACAGACAAACTGATAACATACAATTTAAAAAGTGGATCTAGGCGACTTTTCGTGAGTAGTTACCTGTAAGTTATGCTTACCTAAGCAAAATTGGTTCTTATTCCTCGTGTTATAATAATGAGAATGTGAGTTTTTTTTTTGGAAAGAGCATTTGTTTTTATGAGTATAGGATAGTAGTTTTAGCAAATAAATTGAGGAGACGGTCAAAAGTTGATATTTCTTAAAATAATCCCTACAAGACGCCCTGACGATAAATTGAACATGTTTCTAATGTTGTGTGATCAAGACTGTGTCGATAGTTGAGGCCTGTCCCCAGACAACAATATTCAGACAGGACCGAGTATATAAACGCATAGTAGACACTAATTAAGGTTTCACGACTTACACAATTTTTTAGACTATTTATGACGAAAGCACCTATATTTAACTTTTTGCAAACCCTGTGGATATGGGTTTCCCAGTTTAGGTGCCACTCCACCACTAAGTCCAAAAAATTTGTAGACAGAGAGAGCTGTTGTGCCCATTAAGGGACAAGTTAACATTACAGGATTGCTTCTTCACATATCATATATTCATAGCTACAGTTTTATCGTGATTAATCATTAGATTGTTTAGATTACACCAGTTAGTAAACTCTTGGAGCACTCTGTATTCACCTTCAGTTGCAATTCTGTTTCAGATACAGCAGAGACTACTGCAGTAGTATCATCCGCATATAAAAATACTTCGCCTTCAGTGATGTGGTCTGGTAAATCGTTTATGAAAACACTACCCTGTGGGGTACCGATATCTTGATTATAATAAGCGGACACTGATTCACCAGTTTTAACAGCAAACCTACGACCTGATAAGTAAGAGAAAATAAAAGAATTTATACTACCCCTCAGTCCCATATGTTCTATTTTATTTTTAACAAAGATTTTGTCAACTGTATCAAACGCACGTGTCAAGTCAAATGATATAGTGAGCACAAGTTCCCCTCTGTTGAGTTCATCGGGTATGCAATGAATTAGGTCAATGCAGCCCGACTCTGTAGACATACATTTGCGAAATCCATGCTGTCTGTTACTTAGAATGTTACACGATTTTTTCAATAATTTTACAGAAGATACTCAGTAATGACACTGGTCTATAATTACCAATGTCTTGTTCGTCTCATTTTTTAAATATCGGCACTATTATGGCTTTTTTACCATAGGGAAACGTGGCGGTACAAACGGCAATGTTAATCAAATCAGCTGAAAATGAAGAAATATAGGGAATAAGTTTCTTAATATGTCTAACAGATATCTGATCGAACCCACACGAATCTTTATTCGAGAATGCCATAACAATTTGCTCAGTTTCCCCTATTGTAACGAATTCGTAGTTAAAATAGTTTGGAACATGTCTGTTTGGAACTGTACATGCTTCAGAAATTCAGAAAGATGCCCGTTGAAATACGAGTTGAGTTTACCTGGTACTACAGATTCAAGACGCTCTCCGAATCAGATACAATACTGCCATCGATAGCTATAGTAATATTTTTGTCTCTACTAATTTCTTTGCAACGAAATTTATTGTTTATTGACCACATAGTTCCAATTTTATTTCTTGAATGAGTGATGAGTTGATTATGATATGCAGCTTTTTCATTTTTAATTTTTTTACTGACGACTTTTTTACATATCAAATACCTTTGCTTAAAGACTTCGTCATTGTAGTTATTCTTTATCCAATTCAGTCTTTCGAGGTTATTTATTTCTATTATAAGTTCGTCAGTAAAACGCATTTTTTTCCTTGCTTTTTTGTTACTCTATAATCGGGGAAAACATATTTGAAAACATAAACGGAAAGAATCGAAAAATCTATTGTTTTCCACTGGCACCTTCACGGTCATTTATGGATTCATCGTTATTCATGTTGATGTTTCTTGGTGATTTCTGGACGTGATTATATTCCATAATCTGCGAATAATGTATTTGGTCGTGAGATGGCGCATCTCGAACCTCCTCTAACCTCTTGATTTCATGGTTTATATGAGACCTACTTTCCATTTTTAATAATTTTATAAGGTCTTCTTGTTCCTGAGCACGCTTTTCTAAATGATATGCAAGTTTCTTCATAACACTTAACTCTCCCGGCCACTTACCGCAGTCAGTGCAACCAAGTAAGTCAGTGCTATCAAAGAACTCTTCTTTGTTGTTATGTTGTCACGAAAAACACTTTAGCAATCCAGATACAAATTCTGTTAATACAGCACTACTATTATTCACGGATAACTTCCTTTTTACGATAAGTTCGATTATTTCGTCTTTTTTTAACTTATTCAGTTCCTTGATTAGAACCGCTGTATCTGTACCCGACGCCATCTTGATTTATTGGTTATCTAAAACGTATCGATTAAATACTTATCTTTATTATTAAAAACATACACATACAGTTTCACACAAAATCAAAGAGGGTTAAGATTTTAGGTCGTCAAAAATATATTTACAGGAATATGAGCTGTTAACTCTAACTGTTCATCTAATTGCTCTTTTTTTACCCAAAAGTACACGCTTAGCGTTAGTTGTCAAACTCCAGAAGCAAGCGTATCTTAAATCTGTACTCAATTTGAGCATAGTAAATAGCAAATAACTGCCTCTCCGAAGGAACTGTTGTTAGATTTCTGATAGAATAAGGTTTCAATGGGCTTTAAAATTAGGCTTGCATCAAGATACAATCCTAAAAACTGGTATCTCAACTGGTATTGTTGAGCCATTTACATTAAGGAGTGATGGGCGCATGCGGGTATACTTTAATTCTCTACGTTTCGATGCAGACAATGCGTAGACAATGTAAACAATATGTATACAATGTTGTAGACAAGTGATGTTAGGTTTACTCGCAAATTGCAAAACCGGCAAACTATAAAATATGGTTGGGCATGCTAAAAATTAGGAAATTGATAAACTAGGCGTCATTTTGTTGATTGAATGCTGTATCTGAAAAAGAGTCTCAAACAAATTCAGAGGAGCTTAGAAACGATTTTAGTTAGTTTATGCTTAACATCCAAATAATGGTTTTATTTTGAGAGTAAACATTTTTGAACTGTGAATTGTCCCCAATCTGTTTAGTATGGATTCCCGATCAGGTTGGCAGAAATTCTGCAACATTGCATCATTAGTTCGTTTGATAACATCTTGTACATTCCAAGGCAAGATTTCCACCTCCATGATCATATTTGAGCGATTTTGGTCAGTACCCATCTAGCAGTCGTCTAGGAGTGCCGTTCTGCTTCGAAATGGCTTTCACCTGCGTACACGCAGGCATTGATAATTTATTTTCAGATCGCAGCGCTGTCGCAAAATGCTACAATAACTTAATGATTTTATCATCATCGGTGGAAATCAAAGATAATTCTAAAATAAATTAAAACATATAATTCTAATAAAAGTGAAAACAAAATGTTAAAGTAAATGTTCGAACACACCTCCTTATTGAGTTTGACAGTAACCCAACCTATTGTAGCAGCCTGTGCGAACATTTTCTGGTGTAACATGTTGCCAATGCGGCAGATTGCACGCGTCACTGTTGTTAGGCAATGCAGTGATGACCTTACGCGCTGAACTCAAGCCGTCAGACAAATTTGGTTTTCTCTGTATATGCAAACGACCTAATTGGAGTACTGTTTGTTAATCTGTTGCCTACAATGTTTAAATTGACTACGTCTACAAGAATATCAAAACGTATACACTTGCAATGGAAAAGTTTCGTGATATTCAGAATCGCATAAGTAATGGCATACCAGCAAAATATAGACTAAATATAATCAGCCAGTGAAAAAATTATTGAAATCGGCCAATAAATGTCAGAGAAATTGATACTTAAATTTCGTGCATTATAGCGCGAAATTATTGCTGCCGTTCGTTCGCGACTGACGTCACACTTCTCTAGTGCCCAGCGTCTCGTCGCGTAGGTGTTCCACAGCGTATGTGCGTTTAGTCATTAGTCTATAGACAATTCGTAAGACACACCTGTACACTGGGACACGTGGTTTCCAGTTGATAACTATTGAGTACTCCGTAAGTTCATACCATTATAGAAGCCGGATTTGTAAAAGGGTTAAGTGACAATTTGCCCAAAATTGACATTTAAGCCGTGATGGAATTGATTTTTTCAAATCCATCATATACAAGCGCGGAAATAAAAGGTGTGGAACTTTGGACGTAAGTATTTATGTGTATTGCTACACTATCACAACTAGCTGCAAAATGTGCGATACCCTACTGAGGTTTCAAACAAATTAGTGTTGATGCTCATTATGAGTACAGATTTCGGTACTGTTGCGTCTTGTAGAGCTTCGATTTCACTGTTTTTTCACTTGAAACTTTAGAGGGTAGTCTGATAAATTATTTTACATCATAAAAAGTTTGGATGAAGCACGCACAGTAGTAAAATTAATAGTAATTCTTACTAAGTATAAAAACAATAACAAACAGCAGTAAAATAAAAACCAATTCTAAAAAACAATTCCATTTAATTATAAAAAAAACAAAAAAATAACAAACAGTAAAGTAAAAAGCATTCTGGATGGAATGAAATTGTTCTTCGTTTTACTGTTTACTGTTTTTACTTTTTGTTTTATGCTGTCACTTAGAATTGCTTTGTATTCAACATGGAATTGTTTTGTTTTACTACTGTTTTTATTTTTTGTTTTTTATAATCACTTAGAATTGCTTTTTATTTTACTGCTGTTATTTTTTGAATTTTATAATTACATGTAATAAGCTTTTGTTTTACTACTGTTTTTATTTTTTGTTTTTTATAATTATTTATAATTTATCATTTTTAGCTTAGTACTGTTATTTTTTTATTTATACTTATTAGGAATCGCCTTTTATTTTGCTACTGTTGTTTGTTTCAGTTTTTCGTTTTTGTGTTGCATTAATTAATATACACATGTATATAAATTTTCAACTTTACATATTTTTCCCTAAATGCGGAGCCCTGATATATGACATATGCACAGACGTCTACGTCATATAGCAGATAGATGGCGGTGGAAATAATGATGGAAAGAACAGCTAAAAATACAATGTTTTGGGAAACATTTTTCATGAAAAGCGTGCTTCATCCATACTTTTTTGTTTCTAAATAATCAGACTACCCTCTAAAATTTTTAAAAGAAAAAACAGTGAAATCGGAAGTCCTACAAGACGCAACAACACCAAGAGCCAACCTACTTGACGCCTTTTAGGGGGGTAAGTGACACTATAGTAGCTCACAGCTATTCTCGCTGAGTTGTAATAAGTGACCTCTAATATTAATAAATAGATAAATGTGTCCCCTGTAAATGAAGCGTGTACAATGAAATGAGCTTGGAAATCATATAATAACTAATAATCATGAATAAATAGTAAAGTGATATACTCACATCAAAGTGGTCCTCACAGACATATGTTCTTCTTTTTGGTCCAATCAAATCACGCTTCATAGGTTTGCACCATTTCTTCCTTATATTTTCATGTGAAGGTACGTAGAAAAAATGTTTATTAGGGGTTGTAATTGTTGTGCTCGTACATTTTGGAACGGTACAGTATTTATAACAACCTTTTTTTTATTTCGCTCATAAACGATCGTATATGCAGTCAACTAATTAAACAAATTGGAGGGGAAGACGTTTAGCCTACCACGTGTCCCGCTGTAGGTGTTTTTAGGAGATTGAGTCGGCTTGGGCCCAGGAATCGGCCGCGGGCGTTGCAACTAGTTACTGAAGTGTGACGTCACGCGTAGCGTACAGATGGAATAAAAATATTCTCGCGGGGATATTCTGTAAGTTTTTTTTTTCTAGAGATAAATTTAAAAATGTTTCACCATCTTGTTTCATTTTTCCTAAACTTTCATTTGAGTTAATAACAAAAAAATGGTAAACTTGTCCATTATATAGGCGTATTATGCAATGGTGTCTTTTATGCGATGTATATGCGCTTTTCACTACATGTAAGCTGAATATTCCTATTTTTCTACCTAAGCATTATGGAATCTCACAAGCTATCTTTTAATGGATTCACATATAGTTGATTACTGTCAAATCACAGATGATATATCTTCAAGTAAAGCTTCACATTTACTCCTTAATGTGGTATCACACTGGTTGAATTTAATCATACGTATTATCTGCATTTAGAGTGAAACTACGTTCAGGGAAACATTTTTCTAAATCGCTGATTTGTGGATCAAAACACGTTTCTCTTTACTCAACTTTTGAGTAATTTTTACTAATTAAATTCATTGTTAAATGAGATCAGACCACTGTAGTGACCACTTTTTATAACATTGACACAACTATGTCCATCACAAGCATGGCCGCCCTCAGGTATTTTTCTCAGGGGGTGGGGGCGACGATCGGCAATATAAAGCTTTTTTGTAAAAGTGTACATGCCTCAAAAACTTTTTAAGAGCGGGAAGTAGCAAGTTTTCTCAAGTGGGGGAGGGGACAAATTGTAAAAATCCTCAAACTTGTACACAAAATCATATTAAATATGCAAAGTTACAAATCATAAAATATTCATGGACTGGATGCAAAAATAAAAAAAACTGTGAATTACATTAACTTCTAATTTCTCCTGTTGTTGCAGGTATGGTTCCAGAACCGCCGGGCGAAATGGCGCAAGACAGAGAAGTGTTGGGGCCGTAGCACCATAATGGCTGAATACGGACTGTACGGTGCCATGGTGCGGCACTCGCTGCCCCTACCCGAGACTATCCTGAAGAGCGCCAAGGAGAACGAATGTGTCGCCCCCTGGCTGCTAGGTAATGATCTGCAACAGCGTCAAACCGACGCTGCTGACAGCCCGATGTCTGATGATGCGCCGGACGAAGCATGTAGGTCTAAACGGAATTTGTTCAAAGCTGACACAAAATGACAACAATCTAGACATCACAATATTAACCGATAGCAGTATTAAAATCGTTTATCAAACATCACCCAAAGAAGAACAATTGAAAGAAAACTACAACCAAATGATGGTTCACTGAGTAACCTATAGATACTGTATACTTACTTACGTCAACGTGTTGTAGGACCTTATCCCTATCAAGTCGCGCAAACCTACGTCTTTGTACAGTTGATATATAAGCTCTCTTCATAACAAGTAGATACATCTCTACAAGCTACAAGTAATGGTGAAATGGAAACTCAAATGAATTTATATTACAGCAAGTGCATCATATTTACCGACTGAATTCCCTGTCATCACCCGTTAAAATCATTAATCACTGGATTTATATGAGTTCAAAATATGGTTGGAGTAGGATAAAAAATATGTGAGAGTAGTTATATAGGGAAACCATCTGTGGCATTTAGTAGAAAGGACATACGTCATTTTTTTCGACTTGACAGCTTACGTATTCGATGATTTGAGGATGGTTATTAGAATAATTTAGTGATTTTGTATAAGTCGCTATACATATAAAGCAAACTTAAAAATAACGCCTAATACTTATTTTATGGTTTTATATATCCTCCAGGCAAACATATAGGATTAAACTTGAAGATGTCATAAGTCGAAAAATTTAATCTAGCCCTTTTAACTAAATGCCAGACAATATATTTTCAGTTCAATCATTCAACAGAATGGTGAATGTGACAACGAAATCACAATCCTATGATAATCGACCTTTGCAAGGATGGGTCTTGGCTCCAACACAGTTTCTTTTACATTTCAAAGAGCTTCTCTCCCGCTCGATCCTCAGCTTTGCTGATGACAGCACTCTACAAGTAGACCTACAGATTGCCAAGCCGATCTTTGCCGATGAGTTGAGGTGACATTTGGCGACATCTTCTCTGACGAGATACCCGGAAGTTGCCGCATCTTGGAGACACAACAATCTGGTACAATTTAATGCTTCCGAAACACGCTGGCTAACCAGAAGCGTCCACCGCACGTGCGGTTTCGATGAATGGCCAAGTTCTGCCAAGAAGCCGTCTGGTCGGACTCCATATCTCCGAGGAAAAAATTGAGTTATTTGTTTCGGTCTCAGAGCTTTTCTCCACATAACATCCTCACTCTATACACAATGTCCAGATAAGACCCATACTCGATACTGTTCAGGGGACACACTTTGTCTAACGGACGGTCTTTGCAGCTTTCCACATCAACGGATGATCGCCATCCTGGCACTTTTCTACTGCTATGCCAACGGACTTCGCTTCTCCCTCTTCCACGCGTTGAGCCTGCCACACGGACCCGCCAGTCTTCTACCTACAACTACTCGTTTGTTCCTAGAGTATCGAGGAAGCTTTTCCCAGTTCTGCCAACCTTGGATAGTTCAAAAATCGGATTAACAAAAGGTGTCTTTAAGCAGTGATCGATATTTATGTTTTTGCCTAAGCGGCTCTTGCATCACCATAATAAATAATAGTTTAAATAAATAGTAGTTTGAAAAAACTAAAAAATCACGCTTTTATATCTAACTTAACTAAAAAGTACAAAATAATTTTTAATTGGAAAGAGTTTATATTATTACAGTAGTAGGTAAAATTATGATAAAATTTGAGTGATTAACAGAATAATTGAAGTCAGAGTAAAAAGCGTGGGATGCTTGATATATTAAATGTTACAATCATTCTATTGACAACTATCTATGAGAGGAGAGTTATGAAAATGTAGTAAAATGCGCCCCACGCTTTTCACACTTAAATTTTATTATAATTTTATCTACTGCTATAATATAAACCCTTTGTAATCAATAATTATTTTCTAATTTTTAGTTCGGTTAGCTATAAAAGCGTGGTTTTTAGTTTTTCCAAACTATTATTTATTTTTAATTTTTTAGGTCGATGTATCAATTAGTTTTTTGTGGACATGAAGTATTGAAATGTCTTACGAATCATTTCGTAATCTAATCATTTCATTTACTTCACTATAGCATGGGGTTTTTCTTCTTAACTTAGAGCAATCAAGTAGGTCAATCCGGATACCGTCTAAAGATCTTACACGACTAAGTACTACATAAGCTTGTTCAGCAGCAACTACTCGCGAGCCTAGATAAATGACTGCATGACCGGCTTTACAACCTTGCACCTTGTGGACGGCCGAAGCCCAACTCAAGATGAATGGCAACATTCGCAATGAACAAGGTGAGAATGCACTACCTTGAAAAAGTATCTAACGGCATAACGCGTCAGACTCAGTAGCACGGCAGTAAGACCAAAACACGTACTAAGACACGCTCGCCGGTGATCCCAGCCAGCATCTATTCTCTATCATTGTTTTAAGGGAAAATGTAGGCGGAAATTTTTCAATGAATGTGTGAAATATGTCAAATAGGGGTGTACTACCAAGGTTGGGAGCAGATAAACATACTGAAATTAAAAAAATTGAGATATCCCTCCTCCACTCCTCTACAACGACCCATCATCCAATTTTTTACCTCTACAAAATTTTTCCAAAATGATCAGGATCCTCTGAAACGTCAAAGAACTAAGTTTGAGCGATTTTTATTTTTTATTTTGCTTTTTTTCCTTTGTCTCTGCCGCCACTGGACCGATTTTCAATAACTACAAAACTTTTCTACTTATACACGAAACCAAGGATTAGCAAACTGTGAGACCGATAGACAGACCGACAGAAAATAGTGACATGATGACAAAAAACATAATATCATATTTTCGAAATTTTTCGCGATTTCAATAAGTACTTCCTCGCCCGTAAAAATAGGAAGTAAGGCGGAGGCTAAAATGCTGTCCTTCGGTATTAAGTTCCCATTATGAGAAATTTTCAATAAGAGAAACATACGGGATGAATAAACTACCTTGCCTCCTTAGGTCCTAGCTGATTCTGAGAAAAGAAACAAGGTGTCACAAAAGAAAAAAAAATTAAGCGATCTAAATCAGGAGATCTAGTATGGCAGGACAATGCATGGTGTTGATAAATCATTTTTCTTAAACGATTAGTCAAATTTCCAGTAACGTGTCTATATCTATTAAATTTCAACAAATGATATAGTCGTAGTCACCGTTCTTGGCGGGTCAAAGTAAGACTACCAGTATCCCTTTATACAAGGTGTTTCAGTTTATTGTTGCATAACTTTAAGATTCGATAGAACTTTTAAAATTAATGCATAAAGTCTATATAAACATGGGTCGAAAAATGCGTGGCATAGTTTTACTGTAGCCGCTAGAGGGCGCTCTCTACTGCACATGTAGTGTATTAAAATGACCGAAAATTTTTTCTTAGAGCAATTTTTTGCTTTTTGAATAAAAAAACTGATTCTTCGCACTTTTCAACATAAAAAAGCTCTCCTGTGAGTTTTCGTTATAGTTAGCCGTTTTTGAGATATTTCGATTTTTAAGATTCGATGCATTTTTAATTATTTATGGGAAAATAATATTTTTTTTAAATTTTCGATTTGGGCATTACAAGTAATTAAGATGATCGTTTAGATTGTGTTTTTAAACACAGCAATAATTCCTAACTCCAAATAAACACAAAAAAACAGAATATTAATTTGTTTAATTTTCCAATATTATATCGTGGAGGCCAGGCGACTGGTCCTCCACGGCCGATCCATCTTACTGGATAATTTTCGTCCAGCCAGTTTCTAACTATTCTCGAATAATAAGCTGGACAACCATCAAGCTGGAACCAGGCCAATCTTCTTAAATCTAACATAACATCATCCCACATATTTGCATGTTCAGCCTTTAAAAAATCCAAGAAGGTCGCAGCATTTAACCTTGCAGGCAAAAGGTAGGGTCCAAATAATAATAATAATAATAATAATATTTATTTACTCTAAAATACAGGGAACATGAAACGAGTAAATAAATATAATATATCCATAGGAGGACAACGCCTGTGCATGGATCATATGTATGTTGAATTGTAAAATATAATAAAATAGAGAGAAAAAAGAAATTATTGGTAAGAATGGTAGAGCATTTATTGTGTAATATTTGAGATTATTTTATTAATTTGATTTCTCCCAATCGTGTTAATAAATTTTTTTAATTTTTTTTGAAGCCTAATGTATTGCGTAATTGTTTTAAATTATTTGGTAAATGTTCGTACAATTTTGGAGCTATATACAGGTGACATCGTTTCATTAGGGATTTGTTTGGTTTAGGAACATTTTTTGAGCGTAATTTATATCTGGTTTTATGATTATGTTTAATTATGTCGTGTTCACTAATAGTTTTGTGATAATGAGTGATGGTATGTAAGAAGTAAAGTTGTTTAGTATCATATACTTGTGCATCATTATATAAGTCATTAGTTGGGTATAATTTTGATTTGCCTAACATTGATTTTAAAATTCTTCTTTGAAGTACATCTAAATCGTTAAAGTATGTCGTGCATGCAGCACCCCACACTACTATACCATATGTTATGTGTGGCTCGACTAAAGCTTGATATATTATTCGTAGATAATATTCAGTTAATATACCGGTTAGAAATTTTATTTTATATGCTATGAATCTAATTTTCTTTAGTATGTGAGAAATATGTACATCCCATCTCAAGTGGGGATCTAGATAAATTCCTAAATATTTTGTATCATTAACTCTATTGATTTTTATATTTTTATCATTTACCTTAAACCGAAGGTGGTTATATTTTGGTAGACGATTAGATAGTGATGAAAATGGTAAAAAATGAGTTTTAGTAAAGTTAATTGTTAATTTTCGGTTATTAAACCACTGAATAATTTTGCAAAAGTCATTTTGGATAATATCTTTTAAGTCGTTCCAATCCTTACCTTTATAGAGTATAGCAGTATCGTCTGCAAAACTGACTATTTTACCAGTA